AGGCAATAAGCTTAAGGAAACACTTGTTATAAAAGAGGAGTTTGGTAGAAAACAAAATGACAAAGAATTAGACGTGAAACAAACCTTTTTTTTTTAAGAATAAACATAATATGAACAACTTAATTTATTTTAAAATCACTTTATTATTATTTTTTTTCTTCTTTAAATAACTTTATTAGAATCTTGGTGCAAAAAGGAAAAAGAAAAAAAAAAAAACTTTGTTGTATACTCTTTTTTAAAGTCAAAAGTTGCCATATCTTTTGCTTATATATATATACTAAAATAATAATATATTGATTAGATGATGATGAATGTAAGTTGTAGATTGAATCTATGCTAAGTCATTGTATATATCTTCAATTTAGAAATTAAAGTGTTTTACAAATTATTACTATATTTTTCATGAAATATTTGTTGACTACAAATAGCATTGGTTGAATTGTCTTAATCAACACTAGAATCTTTAATCACGTGGTTAATAGGATAATTTGAATGGCAAGTAAAAATATGATTTCTTTTTTATTTGATGTATGGTGTTCATTCAGATCTTGATTTGTTTGGTTTCATATTGAGAAGTCTTATTTTGGATATTAAATGTTTCTTATCAAAGGTGATTCAACCGTTTATATTTATCTTCAAACGATATATTTATTTCACTATTTATATTTATCTAATTTTTTTATTATTTAAACAATAAAAGATAAGTGAAAAAAAATTAAACAGCCCAACAAGAAGATAAATAGAAAAAGAAGAAATTAATTATTGAGGCTATTTATGTAATAAAGTGAAAAAACATGGGCCATTTCAATCAAACTCTTCTATTCAAAAATTCAAAAAAGGTGAATTATCTTTTACCTAACAAATAGGTAGATTAGCAAAATATCCAAGTCATTTTCTAAACCTTTTCTAAATAAAATCCTTGGACCATTATGCGCCTCACTTGATCCACATAATTTCACCCACCTTTTTTCCAAGTAAATAAAAAAGAAATCCAATAGATTTGAAATAAAAAAGTGTTTGAGATTAAGTTGATAAAAGAGTATATAAAAGTTAAAGTCATGTTTAAATATGAAAAAATTAACGTTAAGATTTTACGAGTACGAATTAAAATTCAGACATTAAATATTTTTTTTTTAAAATAAAATGATTGAGATTTGAAAGAAAAAAAAATTGAAATCAAGTCGTTAAAAAAGTATTTGAAATTAGTTGAAGTCATATTTAGATAGATATGAAAAAAACAAGGGGAAAATGTCAAATATACCCTGAAATTATCATAAATGATATGCAGATACCATTCGTTATACTTTTAGGACATTGGTGCCCAAGTCGTCAAAAAACTAGAGCATATATACCCTTTATACTAACAGACACACACGTGTCATAATCTTATTCACCGACCCGACATTTATTAAATATCGAATTGACGGATAAGATTGCACCACATGTCCCTATTTAGCTAGCGTTTGGCCATATATTTCCAAATATTCTTGGCAAATATTATTTGGGTGAAATTTCACCATGTGTTTGGCCATAGTATTTGGGAAATATATTTCATTTTGTTAGAAAAATATGATTTATACCTATAAGTTTTAAAAACTAACAAAACTAATCATAAGTTCGTATTACAAGTCAATTGGATCTTCGTTGCAACAAATAACAAGTAGTGTCCATGACACTAGAGCAATGTGGTAGTTTGGAGCGAGTGCAACAAGCATCATTCCATACATCGTGAAATAGACAAAGCACATGACTTTGTTACCCTGAGCCGATTGTTCTATCATTTTCATCAACAACCATATCATCACTTTCATATTCACTGAATATTTCATCACTACTTTGGTGTTCACGAAAAACATTATGTAATACAACGCAAACAACTACTATAGATGGTATTTTTGTAAAAGATAAAAGTTTGGTGTAAAATTTCAATTTTCAAAAGATCCCAAATAGTGAGATTTGGCCCAAATACTAGAAAAAATTAGTATTTGGGATATTTTCCAAAAATATTTGCCAAATAATGGCAAATTGTATGGACAAACATTATTTGCCAAATTTTTCTCCAAATATTATTTGGGAAATCTATGGCCAAACGGGCCCTTAGTCTTCCGTTAGAGTGAATGACATATATGCTCTAGTTTTTGGACGGCAGAGGAATCAATGTCCCCAAAGTATGAAGGAGGGTATAATGCATACCATTTATGATAAGTTTGGAGTATATTTGTCATTTTTCCCAAAAAACAAAGTTAAGATTTTACTAGCGAAAAATTGAAAAATAGACTTAAATATGTTTTCGATCAGTAGCTCAAAGTTTGAAGTTGAAAAACTGAGTTAGACTTATAAATACATATTTATTTTAAATTTAAATACATATTTATTTTAAATTTATCTTCATTTAAGAAAATATTTTAAATCAATTTATGGCCAAACAATTTTTTATTAAAATTTACTGCAAAAAAGAATTATAGATGGATATATATGTGAATGTAAGATAAGTATGGGCTAATTTAGTCATTTACACGTTAGATCCTAGGATAATTGTCGGTTTTGTGTTATTTTCGAGGTGCTTTTTTTTGCATGTTGAGTATATTGTGGGGCCTACAACTACAGCATTTAGTGCTAACTTAAGGACACAATTTACTCTCATAAGGTACCAATTCAAAATTATAAATCCCGTCACAAAGCGGAGTGTTGGTTAATCAAAAAATTATATGTTCGAAAGATATGAGTAGCGAAAATAAGTATGTTAAGATGAATATGTAGTATGTTAAGGAGAAATAGGATTATAAACGAAGTTATTCAAAATAAGATGAAAATAACCTTTGTGATGGATAAGATGAGAAAAACGATGATTGAGATACTTCAGATATGTGAAGAAGATGCACAAATATATCAGTGAGGAGCTGTGAGTACAAGGAGAGGTAGAGATAGATCAAAGTAGTTTTGAAGAAAGATGATTAGATAAGATATGACACAACTCGAGAATATAATTCTGGATAAAAAAAAAAAAGGTCGAGGATTATGGTAAAGTGTTGTTAGTAAGTAGTCGAACATTGTTTAGTTTCCTTAACAAAGTACTGCTATTATTACTTCACTACTGTATTGCTTTTTCAATTTAGTATTATTTGTTGTTTGCTATTGTATTGGCTTTACCTATTTGATTTTTATATGCTTTTACTTTAGTCAATAATCTATGAAAAACAATTTCTCTATTTTCACGAAGTACTGATAAAACCTATATATCTAAAGTTAATTATGAGGCGGCTAAACTTTAAAGACTTTGTAAATTTTGGCTGTTTTTAAAATATATGTCCTAAAAATGGGTTATTTAAAGGTGGATAATTTCAAACTTTTGACCTCGTTTGCTTTATGGACAAAATTTTCGATATAACAAGCTTTTGACTTTCAAAATAATTTCTTTACAAAGCAAGTGGAGATAAAAAATTCAATACCGCCCATTTTTTCGAAATCATTTGGTGTAATTTCTCGAGTAAGAATGGCTATTTTGTGGACTTGGTCCTTTAAATATTAGTCTGGCCCATTACAAGAATTTAAACAAAGGCCCAAAGAAATAGATATACAACTAGTATTTCCTCTCAATAGGCATTCTATATACAAAATTGAATGTAACAACATATTACCAAATTCGTGTTGGATAGATTCATTAAGAGAGGTAAGTCGCTTCGAACCAAGAAGTACGAGGAATATGTAATTAAAGATGGATAAATTTCAATCATCATAGTATATATTGTCTAATTTGATATCTTAATTTTTCGTGTTAGAATTGTTTATTTTAAAAAATTATTACTTATTTGGATGTTGGAGTGAGTTGCCATTTGCTTCGGTGAATTGTAATAAATACTAACATGTTGTTATCTTTGATGAGTTTTACAAGGTTTTAAGAAGCTAAAGAATGAATAGATTCCTCGATCCTAACATGCTAAGTATGGTAAGAGGACACTCACATAACAAATGAACTGAACAAGTGAATTGAGAGGTGTCATTACTTCTCAAACAACTCAAAAATCACCTTTAAAAAATGATGAATTTCATAAGCACACACAAATAATAAAACGAACAACAATTTTTCCACATGTTTGGATGACTCGTGCTCTAATGTCATTGACTCAGAGTCATACATGATGCTTAAGTAGTTTGGAGTTTGCACATTTTTATACATCGCTAAATCGAAAAATCGCAATTCATACATTTGTACATGTTCATATTAATGGTCAATGAACCTTTTTTTTCTCGATTAACATATATAAACTTATGATTTAAATACTAATGTATTTAGAGAAGTTTCACAAAAACTCAAAAATTTGAAAGATGAAAGGGCTCCCAATTATAGCACGTGTTTAGAGGACATTCACATAAAAAATGATACGAGAATTGAATATGTGTCGATACTTCTCAAACAATTTAAATGTCACTTTTAAAAGCAAAGAATTTCAACACTTTCTCAACATGTTTGGATGACTCGTGCTCTAGTGCTAGTGTGACATATGGTTATAAATGCCCATTTTTGATCGAGCTCAAAGAATTTTCCTTAAAAATCTCACACCATTAAGAATATTCAAATTTTTAGACTTTGTTTGAACACTGAACATTTTTTTCTATAAGATTTTTTTTGAAAGCAATGGAGGCAAGAGGCCGTTGAAACAGTAAAAGCTTTTGGCCTGCCAAAACAAATAAACAAATATTACTTCAGCCAAACAAAGCCTTATTTCCAGATAAACATTTGCAATTTGCATCATAGGTGTAGTACAAAGTGCTAATATTGTTGTACCTTGTAGACTGAAAATGACTATTTGTCAGCTTCTATTTGTCTTCTCTTCATTCACTCCTTTCTCTCCATTTGCTGCCTAGTGTAACCTTCAGCAAATTTATATTCCTCTGCTTATTAACCTCATGGCATCTGAGTTTTTTTTGGTTTTATGTGGGAAAATTCTATTCCCCTTTGTTTGTATTCCTAAATCCAAAGTCCTAATCAGGAAAAATCAAAGAAAATTAGAGATTCTTGGTGGGTTTTGTGTGTTTTTCTTGTTTGGTTTATGGGGTCTCTTGATGGAACATAAAAAATGCTGAAAGGTACTTCCTTTTTCACAGTTATGCTTTAAGGTTTTGCTCATATTTGTGCTTCTTGATTATGTAGTTGGTGGGTTTTATGTATTTTTCTTGTTTGGTTTATGGGGTGGAAGATAAAACAAGCTGAAAGGTACTTCCTTTTACAGTTGTTCTTTAAGGTTTTGCTCATATTTGTGTGTCTAATAATGTTCTTGGTGGGTTTTATGTAACTTTTTTGTTTGGTTTATGGGATGGAAGATAAAACAAGCTGAAAGGTACTTCCTTTTACAGTTGTTCTTTAAGGTTTTGCTCATATTTGTGTGTCTAATGATGTTCTTGGTGGATTTTGTGTAACTTTTTGTTGGGTTTACTGGGTGGGGTGGAAGAGTAAAAAAATGCTGAAATGTACTTCTTTTTTCACTGTTATTCTTTAAAGGGTCGTTTGGTATGTGGGATAAGGATAATCGCGGGATAAAATTTGGGATTAACTTAATGTCATTTTTGGTTTGAGGTATTAGCTAATCGCGGGATTATTTTATTCCACCATTTCTACTCAAATAATCCCGTGGGATATCCTTGCTTATCTCATCTCGCGTACCAAATGACTTATAAGGTTTGATCATATTTGTGTTTTTTGATTATCTCCTTTTTGTTCTTGGAGTGTATGTTGCGTAGTTGAAGTCATTTTTCTTTTTTGGATAATCGTGATGTTCTGGCTAGTTTGCGCGATTTCCACTAGCATCTGCGATCTCTAACTAGCATAGGTGCCGATTAACTATGTACACAAGGCTTGGACAGATGGGAAAAAATCACCTAGCGTTTGAGAATTGAACATGAGACCTCATGGTTTTCAACTCACGTCATTGACCGCTAAACCACTAGGCCACACCCTTGGGTGTGTTGCATAGTTGGAGTATTGACTTAGGATTATTGGGTTTTGGTTGGAAGAGATATGATTTTACATTTTAAAAGTTTTTTCTATCTGAATTTCATCTATGAAGATCAAAGAAATTCATTGGTTCTTAGTGAGTTTTATGTGTTTTTCTTGTTTGATTTATGGATTCTCTTGTTGGAACATAAAACTAAATGAAAGGTACTACCTTTTTCACAGTTGTACTTCAATTTTTGCTTATAATTGTGTTTCTTGATAATGTCCTTTTTTGTTCTTGGAGAGTGTTGCGTAGTTGAAGATATTCAACTCGGAATTTTGGAATTTGATTAGAACATAGATGAAATTAACTTTTTTAAAGTTTACCGTATCCCAATTTCATCTATGAAGATCAAAGAAAATAATTGGTTCTTGATGAGGTGTTATGTGACTTTTCTTTTAGGTTTGACTTTATGGGTTCTCTTGATAGAAGATAAAACAAGCTGAAATAGTACTTTTTTCATTTATTCTTGTTAATGGTCAGAGGCAGATCATGATTTGAAGTTTATGGGTTCCTACAACAAACTCAAGTTAATATATAATATAGCTAGATTTACAGTAAAATATTTATAGATATTTAGAGGATTTCTTTACACATATATAGGGTTTGTGCAAAAACTACTGAGTTCACGTGAACCCACAAATTATACTGCAGATCCACCCCTGTTTATGGTTTGCGTATGTTTATATTTCTTGAGTACTTCTGTTTTTGTTCTTGGTTGATTGGTTGCATAATTAGAGTATTTACTTTGGAAAGTCGGTTTTTTGTTGGAAGAATGATAAAGTTGATGTTTTCAATGTTCTAATGTTAACAGGTTCGGTTTTTTATTTCGTTTTTCCTTGTGTTTGATCTCTTTTGGTGGAGCAGATATTAAGTTGTCAATGCTCGTTTTGGGAAACTTAAGTTTTTATTCACATATAAGGTTCCGATCTCCTTTAGTTACCCTTTTTTGTTGAAATACTTGATCGGAAGCTAGAGCATAGGTACACTCAAGCACCTAGGCAGCTACTAGTTTATTAAGATTTGCAGTTTCCGTTTCCCCTATATGTTTTGGATGTGTACGTTTGGGGAGAAAAATGAATATTGAGGATTCATTTAGCCGACTTCAACTTAATTGAATCCGAGACGTAGTAATAATAATAGTTGTTATGTGTTTGTTTCTTCTTTTTTCGGGAGCATGCAAAGTATTGGTTGTGGCAGAATCAGTACTTCTGATATTAACTGGCATTGAACAATCTCATTTCTTGGATTTCATTTAGGTGGTCTGATATTCTAATCTGAGAGAAGATGGCCATGTCACTGGAGGACCTCCTCGCGAAGGAAGGATTCAATAAGAGGATGTCAAAAACGATGCCTAGAGCTTCATCGGGAACAAAGGGAAGAAGTGGCCCTATTTACCGACTTCAAGATCCTCATAAGTTTGTTGCTTCATCTGGCACAAAAAAGCCGGAGAGGACAAAATCTGATATTCCATGCCATGACTTGAAAAGTAAGCACAGAATGGGTTCTTGCGATATATCATCGGATGTTAAGAGAATAAGCATTAGTTCTTTTGATGAGTTTTTATCTGCCGAGGCTTCTCCAAACAATGAGATAGTTGAGGTCGGAGAGAGAAATGATTCAAGATACAACCGTATATACTCAAATCGAACTTACAGAAATGAGAGTGGTGAAGGTAGGTCTGGTACCAGAAGTGCTGAGGACGCAGAATCAAAGAGACAATCCTTCGGAAAAGATACACAAGCTACAGCAAAATGTCTCAATAAATCTAGTAAAAAGGTTTTAGAACATCCAAGCTTTAAAGATGGTTATCAGAAACATATGGAACAACCCGAGACCTCAAACAGCAGATCAACTAGAAGTTCAGTAACCAACAAAAGCTCCGATGCAACTACAAGCCTAAGGAAAGCTGAGATTGAGCACACCGCAGCTATTCCTGCTCTTGATGAACTTGCTATTCAGGCTGTAATCTCTATCTTGAGCGGGCATATAAAACATTTTCTCCTAGATGAGGATTTTAGGACATCACTTCGTCACAATAGCTTCGCTTCGTTAAATTTTATTGGATTTGAAGAAGGTCTGAATACTGAAAGCAAGATCATTGCCACTCTTGAACAAGCTATAGAAATAGTAGAAAGAGCTGCAGAGGATTGTGCAAATGAGAAAGAGCTTAAGAAAGCCTCACTGCAGCTTAGTGTAATCACAGGGTTGAATTCAGACGAGTTACGGGATCGATTTACGTCCGGAATTCCCAATTCTAAATTGGCAGCTTGTGCACATCTGTATCTCAGTGTCATATATAAGATACAGAAGAAGGACCGTATCGCTGCAAAACACCTCCTGCAAATTTTCTGCGATTCGCCCTTTCAAGCAAGGACTAGTTTGTTGCCTGATTTGTGGGATCGCATGTTTCTTCCTCAGCTTTCACATTTGAAGGTCTGGCATGATTCAGAAGCTAATTTTCTTGGTGACCTACGTTATAAGTCAAGGAAACTGAAGCTGCTTGACAAATTATACAGTGAAAATCTGGACAAAGGTACTTATCAGTTTGCAGTTTACTACAAGGATTGGCTAACCGAAGGGGCTGAGATTCCTTTAGTTCCTTCTATTCAAATTCCTCCAATATCTGTTTCGCGTGAAGGTTCCTTTAGCAACTCTTCCCACTTAAGTAGTGGTGTTGGCGGTTTCTCACCTCAGCCTGTTGTCAGCAAAAAGTTGTATGATGAAGTATTCCGTCGTTCACATAAACTAGGAGCTGAATCAGAAGAGCGCCAGGAAGAAAGCTATGAAATTAGTGTGAGGAAGCCTGCTAGGTTTGCTGCTAAAAATCTGGTAGCATTGACATACTCTGCTGAAGTGATTAAGTGTATAGATCAAGATGCTGATCCTGGTGCTACAGTTGATTCAGTAAGTGTTGAATACATTACTTCAAAGAACATGGATCAGTATGTGTAAATTGTTGGTTAAAATCCTGGCTAAGTTTCTGCAACATTTTGGCTGGTGAGATTTGAAGCAAATGAAATTCTACATGGTCCATTTTAGACGATAAATAGGGGATGTTTGAAGGATCTAGATACTTTAGCTCCTGTATTCCAACTTACCCTTGGATTCTTCAAAATCTATTTTGTAAACCAACTTGTACTTTTGTGAATACTTTTAAATTTCCGTCACCTGCATGTCATTGTTCTTTCAGCTGTTGATGTTATTTCTTAAATGCTCCGTTTAGGTATGGCTGTACCTCATAACTTAAGCTCTTATGAAGTCACTACGACAGTGTCATTTAACTTGAAATGGATGATAAGCAGTCTTGTCAAAGGCGCTTTTAAGCCCAAATGATCAGGGAGGGCGCCTCGCCTTGCTTAAGCTGTGTTTCACGGTATGCAAGGCATTAAGGCGTGCGCCTCATTGCCAGTAAGTCCTACTTGAGTCAAGCCTGAACTATAAATATAGTCAACAAGAGATAAATTAATTGTTGATATTTTGAATGAATTTGTTACTTTTTTCTTGCATTACATATATATTTTTACTTCTTTTTTTCTCCGTTGGCCTTTTTTTTCACTAAAAGCTCACACTTCCTTTGTACCTTTTGCTTAAAGCCCCAATAGACCTATAGCACTAAAAGCTTTTTGCCTTTGACAACACTGATGAGAAGCTTGCAGAGTTGAACGTATGTGCCTTTTCTTTTGATGTTGGAATTACCGAATTAAGACATGCAGCTTGATTGTACTTTTTAAATAGTGTTTATGATGAAGAAAGTAAATAAAACTTGTCAAATCTCTGTACTAGTACTCTATGCAGCTCTAAATCTAGTGAGTTAGGATCTATGCTTGCAAACATTATTATTCCCTCTTCAGATTTTGCATTACATAAGACAAGTTACACCCTGGGGGCGTTCTGATGTGTAGTATGGTGCATCAACCGCTTGGGATGCGGCGGGGGTAACTGATTCTCCAGAAGAAAATTTTTTCATGGAAATATTTGGAAACTCTGATATGAAGGAAACAGCTCCATTAAAGACCAACATGCTGGATTCATTTGCACCTGCAGATCTGACCAAGTTCATATTCATCAGGATAACAAAAGCAGCTCTTGAGCAGGAGACTGAGGAGGTAGTGCTTCCTGCTCAAGGTAGGTGAAAGTCATCTTTGAGAGTGTTCCCTACTTCCCTTTTTGTTGAGTAATCAATTAGTTATGATGATGTTTTGAAAATGTGTAGGAGTCAATTATGTGGGAAGAACTTCCACAAACATTCCACAGGAATTTATCTGCCCTTTGACTGGACTTATTTTTGAAGATCCCGTTACCCTTGAAACTGGCCAAACCTTTGAGAGAGCATCTATTAAAAGCTGGATTTCGAAAGGAAACAAAACATGCCCAGTAACACGAAGATCGTTAGAATGTCAAAATGTGCCCTGCAGTAACTTCATTTTGAAGCGTGTCATCACCAATTGGAAGTCAGAACATTGGAGGCAACTTCTGGCTTATTTCTCTAAGTTAGCTGGAAATTCAGGGGGACATGGTTGGTTGAAGAACGAAATAGCCGTTTCCGTGTTGGAACAACTACTTATTGCTTTAAATCAGGATCAAAGAAAAGCAGCTTTAGTGCAGCTTCTATCCCTCGGAAGCTTACAGTTTCTCATCGAGAGATTTAATCGTGGAAACGCAAGGGAGAAGATATGTGTTTCTGTATTACTTTGCTCTTTCATTGAAGCTGACACTAATTGCAGAAATGTAGTTGCTAGAAATGTTGATAAGATACGTCTTCTTAATCTTCTTCAAAGAGAAGAGTTGGTATTAAGGAGAAACGCCTTTTTACTCCTGACTGAACTCATATGCCTTAACAGGTACTTGTTTTTTCAAATGTATTCTCTATTACACACTGGATTCTCATTTATTCGCCTCGTGGCATGCATAGTATGTTCTATTTTGGCAAAAAATAGAAAAGCAGCTGAGTAAGTCATACGTCATTGAAAGATAAAGAATTAGTTCTGAACTTTCATATTTGGTCAGGCGAATTTGCATGGAGAAATTCGAAGTCCATCAATAGAGATTTAGAGCACATCAAGTTGAAGCTCAAGAGCTCTTTTTAGCAGATGCACAGTGAAAAATCTAAACAATGTGATATGCAGATTTTACTTTTAAAGAAAAAGTGATTCTTTTACTTGTTAATGTCCTCACATCGAGCATGATCACTGATATGTTTTACATTCTTTGTTAAAATGAAACGATCTGGCTACTTTGTCAACAAACACATTTGAATATGTTCTGATGCTTCTTTTTTGCAATGGCATGAGTGGAAATGTAGTCACTATATACACTTCACAAGAAAACTGTTACTTCTTTTTCGGAAAATGGAATATTAGCTTATTTGGATTCATGTATCCAAATGAATCCAAGTTACAGGTCCGAGCAGTGAAATAGCCACTGATGCTTGTGTCAGGGTAGGCTGTACACATTACACTCCCTTTGGGTGTGGCCCTCCCGTAGACCCTGCGTGAACGTGGGGTGCTTTGTGCACTGGACTGCCCTTTTTATATCGAGATGAAGCTTGCTTTGCAATTAAGATGCCGAAATATTCTATATTTGCTGGATTATGATGCAGTTTTAGGGGTTAATGATATTTTCATTAACTCTGAGCCGTGCTCCCATATTTCAGGAGAAAAGATGCAAAGTTCTTCCTTAAAAGTCTTCATAAAGATAACATAGTCAAAGCGATGCATGATTTGCAGATGTATCTCCAGGATTGTCCATGTGAACAGAAAATCATGGTTGCTCTGCTGCTCTTGCACTTCAATCTTCTGGTAGGTTTCAAATTTGAAGTTTTCTCTAAAGAAAGTTCATGAACTTTTTCATGGTTCGTCCACAGTGCTGCTTATCTCCCATGAAGTTACTTTTAATTGCTGACATCATGCCTTAATTGTTGTTCTTCTAATTTACATTAGGTCCGTATAGGGATAAACATGAGATACGGGGAATCACTAGTTTTAGAGAGCTCGTATTCTATCATTAAAAAAAAAATTATGTACCAGTACTGGACTGAAATTTGTTTGAATAAAGTTCAATGGATATAGATTATTATTCGTTCCCAATAGCCACGTGATGAAATTCTTAGGGTGATGATACTCTTATTACACTCGTAGTTTTTGAAGGATGAGAACCAACTATGTAGCATCTACATTGAGATGTATTATACACGTCATTCGTCTGATCCTTTTGTAGGAAATCCCCGTAATAACAAACTTGCGAAATGGGTCTGTTTATCATTAAGAATGCGCCGTTCCTGACCTTGCTTCACTTTAGTTGCTATTTGAACAATTAAATGGTCCGCATGGGGATATCATTTCTCTTCTGCACGTCCATGGAGTTTTGAAAAATCCAAACATCTCAAAGATAGATGAAGAGGTAGAAATTTCTCAAATGAACCACACTCCTTTGTATATGTCAGGAGTCCATTGATGAGAAGGGGCTTGGGAAAGCTTGAACCTAATATCATATAGCCGATAATTACTATGTTCGTGATCGAGGAATAGTTGTTGTAGCTTTTGTTACTTGCTTAAGAGGCATGCATACCATTTAAGGTCACTGTTATTTCAAGCAAGTTTATGACAGGATTTGAATCTTTCAGGCCGAAACAGATATGCCTAGCACATACAGAGATGATGCTGTTGATGCTATGACTTTGGCCTTGGAAAGAAGCTTATCCGATGGAAGGATCAGAGAAATATGTTGCAAAGCACTCCTTATTCTGGGAGGGCATTTTTCGTTCTCGGGTAAGATTATGACAGAGGATTGGATCCTAAAGCAAGCAGGGTTTCTTGAAGGCTTTGGAGTAGAATATACCGTTGAGGAGCAGAATAATGTGCTTGCTGATGCAACTGTTATGAAAGTACGTGTTCGTCTTTTGTCCTGACTGAATTCATATAAGAAGTGACTTTATTGGAATGCAAAATTATATAGGCAACCCTAACTCGGTTGGGATTGAGGCGTGGTTGTTGCAAACTTACATGAATTTCATTTCCTGGAGGTTGGTTTGGGTGAGACGGTGAGACATGCCTCCCTAGCCACAATCCACGAGAGGCAAGAGACCTTAAAAAGTGCCAAATTGAATGAGATTTTTTCCCAAGGCAGTATCTCCCTGTTATTTGCTTAATTCCACCATACTGTAGCAACTGTTGACATCAAAAAGCCCCTTGGAATGTCCCTTCAGACCTTCCAGGAGAAGCAATATCAATTTTTTTTATGTATACGTAGTAGATGAACCCCTTTGGTGAAAATCCTGTGCCATCACTGCTAATAACATCTGTGATGACATTAACCGTCCCAAACTCAGTCGACCAAGCTCAAACCTGGATTCACATAGGAAATAAATTTTCTTTTTTCTTGGAAATGGAAGCAAATTTAGAGCTGTGACGCAAGAAGTCAAACATAGTTACTAGCAATGCATGATCATGGCGTAGAACGCAATCTAGCTAGTGTAAAGCATGTCATTCATGGTGCAAATACTCTTCCTCATCACTGAAAAGCCCAGCTTCTGTCTAGCAAGACACGGCTCTTCCGTCATGTCTTAACCCAAGACTGTTACACAGGTTCATCATTACCTTGACATACCTGTGTCAAACCGGTGTGTATACTAATGTTAGCAAAAACTTGACGGACCACCCAAAATACTCAATACCACATCTTGTGAGGAACAAAATGAGCCTTTGCTTCAGTCAGTTTAGGAAACATCTCGTCATCACGATACTGCTTTCTTTCGTTCGTTTCCAAGTGTGCCAATGTCCTGCAATATGAACTTTTCTTTTATTGCACTTATAGTCGTCACATAATACTCTAATTCTCATTACATTTTCACTCATTCTGTAACCATTATGAACTTTACATACTGTTTTTCCATGTCTGTAAAGTGTACATGACTAAAACACAATAAATTATCAGACGGAGGATGAAGAACAAGAAGCCAGGGAAAAGTGGTTGTTAGATGCATCAGCTTTACTCATTGGCAGTGGCAAGAAGTCATTGGTGGAGGCTCTCTCAAAGTGCTTAGGTTCAGGAAACTCGGAAATGGTCCGAATCTGTCTAACAACGGTCGCGTGGCTGAGCTCAGCACTTGCTTTACTGAATGACTCGGAATTTGAGCTATCTGCATTTTTAGCTGTTATCACTCAGCTGATAGAATGCTTACAACATGGTGATCTGATTGAGCATAAGGTTTTAGCTTCAATGTGTCTACTCAATTTCAGCAAAATTCAAGGTTAGTCCTTTTCGTTCCGAGCTTCTGTTTAATATCTTTAGATTGTAGCAACATGTTGTTTAGATATCCCTTCGAGGACATCCGATAAAATTGGAACAGTACAGAGGTTGTTTAGCTGATACAAATTTTAGTTTCTGGATAGTTTAGCCTATATCTAGGAACTTTTTCTACATTACGCTATGGGAAAACTTTTCAAGTATGTGTTCGGTATGAAGGAAGCCATTTTCCATGAAAAATGTTTTTTAGTGTTTTGTTTGTGACCGGAAAATATTTTCTCAAAAAATATATAGTATTAAAATTAATAACATTAACAATCGAAGAGTGTTAATACGAGATTTTGAGTACTAAAGATTAATTGTAATGTCTAAGGGTTAGTTAAAGTAAGTAATACAACAACAACATGACTTGCTGAGACTGACAGTTCGGTCACCAGGTTCATTTGAGTTTTGTGTAAGTTTCTGTGTTTTGGAGCCTTTGAAACTTGAACGGCTTCAATCAAAAGTTCAGCAAGACAGTAATACAACAACAACACACACACTGTAATCCCACAAGTGGGATTTGGCGATGGTGATGTGTACGCAGTCTTACCCCATCCTTGTGAAGGTAGAGAAGTTGTTTCCGATAAATCCTCGGCTCAAGTAAAACATATCAAAATAAGAGTTAAAAGTAATATAGAGTGAAAAGTTAAGATTGTTGTAAAAAATGATTTTCGCCCATATTAAGCGAGTAAAGTTATTTTCCCCATTTTGATGAAAATTGTGCTATGATAATCAAATGCAAGAATATGACTTCCGTCCTCCGAACAACCCCAAAATTCATCCCCATTTTGATGAAAGATATTTTCACGCACCTCGACTAATTCTACGAAATATCTGTCACCTCTCAATATCTCATAATTTTGTCAAGTATTTCCTCCTTAGCTGGCTTTACCAAATGTCACTTTCATGTTTGAAATTATTTAGGACCATTTAATGTTCAAAACAAAAAAAGGCACATCAAAGACGACTTTTCTCAAGGGGTTTGGTATAGTGTGGCAATAATGCTCTCAATTTTGTTTTGTTAGGAAGTTAGACTGTTTGAGAATATGTGATTCTTAAAATGGTTTCTAACCTCTGTTACTCAGACTCTTCAAAAATGTCATTTGATGTGTGTTGGATTTTCGGAAAGTACATGTATTTTTAGAGAATTCAACATGACTCTTCAAATATGTTGCATTGGATGCATGCGTGTCGAATCCTCAGAAGTAGTGCATTTTTGGAGGATTATGACACATATGTGATAGTTGACAACATTTTCGAAAAGTCCGAACCACATTACCTTTTTTACCTCACATTTGTTGATTTCTATCTATTTAATTCTGAGATCTTTGCTCCTAGAATGTAGGGTCTTATTGATGATGGTAGCTGAGGATTTTGTTGGTCCACTAGAAAGCCTTGTTGAAGTTACATGGACAGCAAAAGAGCTTTATGCCATTATTTATCGTGCCGTGGAGGAACGGTAAAGTTGTTTCTGCTCCGTTTATAGGTCACAGGTTGAAGTCGTACAATCAACGACTAATGATTGTCTTAGAGTAGCTATTCTACATTATACCTGAGTGCGAAATATTTTGTGCACCAGACTGCTTTGTAAATCATGTGAATAAATAAGATGAAGGATTTTAGTGTACTTGCCGTTTTTTTCTCCTTGCTTCCATTTGATATCCGTTTTTGACTTGAGTAATTCAGATTCACACCACACATGTCCATCTAAGGAGGAACCATTCCTTATCATGATTTTTTCTATTTTCAAAACTAGAACTCGAAACCTAGTCACATGAATTATCTGGATTACTAATTCTGAATCTAACTGTATGAATATTATAATCTTTTATAGTATTCATTATATTGTCTTGTCAAAAGCAAAAATAAACATTTTCTCGTAGTTGTCAAGTATTAATGTCTAGTACTAGAAAAAACATAGAATTTTTTTTTCTATGAATCATCTTTTTATCTTATCTTATATTATAATAAGAAAATAATAGAAAACAGTACAAAGCATTTGAGGAGGATATGGACCTAACAATAATATCATAGTCAGAGTCCCATCATTAAAAAATCACCTTTTCAAAAAAACTAATTTTTTCACTAAAAGATGTTTGAGGGTTATTTTCACATATATTTTGATTAAATTAGTGAGAAAACTTTAAAAAAATTGTAATGTTTTTATATGGATAATTAGAAAGTTTATTACTATTTCAATTAGTTTTCATTATGCGTTTTTTCAATGAACTGGTTCGATGAAAAATGAATAAAAAAAATCATGTTTTATAGCACAATTTCTCATTGATCTGCGGTGCCTTTGTTTTTATTAGTGTCAGAATTTTTTACTTTTGAGTTTTGAATCACATTTTTTTTTTAATTTATGAGTTCTCGATAATGCTAGTTCTGCCCCTAAATAACACTAATGAAATTGTACTTTCTCAGTATTATTTTTTCATGATATAATTTGATCCAATATCAAAATATAAGAAATAATTTATTTTTGTTGAAATTGTCTGTATTGTTATAAGACTTTCAAAGATTAAAATTATTGTTATGTAAGGATAAATATAAAGTTTATGTGTGACAAAATACTAGTTAAACTATATATAAGTTGATCCAAATATAATTACTATAATAAAAATAATAATAAGTAAAAGTAGAGTACTATAATATTCTTTTACAAGTACTAAGATTTTGACAGATATGTCAAATTTATTATTGCTAAACACAACATTACAATGGTAATTAACAACAAATTATCTTAATACAAGATCTGGAATTAAGCATTTAAACAATTCATTTTTTTTTACTCCTCCTCCATGGATAGCTTAATCACCTGAAATTTTTAATTAACAATTTTTTTTTATTAGGCACTGTATTAATAAATGAAATAAGTACTTCATTGTTTAAAAAAATAATTTTAATTAGTATTTCAAAAAAGAGAAATATAAGACACTTTAATAGTAAGATTTCATCACATATTTAAATTTTGAATGTAAGTTTTCTAAATATGATTTATACCTCTCAATTTTTAACAATTAATAAAATTACTCAATTTGACAAATATACTTCAAACATATAATTAAGTAAGTTTGTTCTAAAAGAATAATATCTCAAAAAATGTTATTAGTTGTATATCAGATCCTCCAAAAATAATTTATTCTTAAGGATATTGATACGACTCTTTAAAAATGTCATTGAGTTGTCACGCTTCGAGCCTACACCCTGGACTGGATTGGCACTCGAGAACCATTTTTGGCCCCAAGCGAACCCTTAGCCTGACTAGACTCTCAGCGGAAGACGCTAAGCATTATTACAATGATCAAATGCACTTATTAAACAACTGTCTCAAATTAAACTCCAGAACGTTTAAGGATAAAACATTCAACTAGCCAAAAATGGCAACTCAAGTCTTAACATAAGAAATAACAATGTAAAGACAACTGAACTACTAATTGTCTATGAAGCCTCTAAAACAAAGAGGGATGTCGGGACAAGACCCCCGATCAACCTAACAACTAAAGTACTAAAGCAATGTAATAGGAGCCCTCCGGAAAGCAAGGAGGCTCACCAACTGACTCTGAGTGCTTAACTGGATCAACGAGGCGCTGGAGGCTGATCTTGGTTACCTATGTCTGCATCATGAAACGATGTAGGCCAAATGACATCAGTACATTGAATGTACGAGTATGCGAGGGGAATACTAAACAAGACATAAGCTTGAAAGAAATCTGGAAAGAACACTTACCTTGGCTTTACTCAACTCATGAATAACTTAACTCAAATGCAAAGTAAACAACAATAATGGTGCAGTTATACAAAGCATTTAAAACATGAGGTAGCAACTCAATTTGTTAAAGAAATGCAATAACAACTCAGTTTACATGTAAAGTAATATAATACTATGAGAGTTTCTCTAACCGACAACCATCACTATGAGCCTAAGTGATGATACAACATCTTGCCCACGCTGCCAGAACTGTCCTATACTTTGCCGTCATATAGAACGCCTTAACTAAGTGGATCCACTAGTCTATGCTAAAAAGCACTAAGGAATCATCTAAAAAATATGATCCTTTCTACCCATGATGACTACATGGTTTATGGAGACTTGAGTTATTATGAATTCGCGTCCCCATATCGGTGCTCAATACTACTCCCAAAATATACTCAACTCATATGTTTTAAAAACAAAACTCTTTCTGTGATTTGAGATAATTACTCAACAACTAGCTCAAAGGTTCTCTTGGAAATCAATGTTTCCTTTCTTGCTCAAATGTGAAAAACATTTTAACTCTTGGGATTGTTTAGTTCCCGTATAATCTTTGAAGAAATGAACTTTACTCTTACTCTTTACTCAACTCAAGGCTTAAGTCTTAAAACAAAGTTGAAACGTTTGTGAAAGACTTTCGAAAAACTCTATGAACTTATCTTGACTTAATTCTTAACCTCTTGACTTGACTCTTAACTTTCCTTGAATTGAATTATGGATTCAAGGTTCATGATCTCATGTTTATGGATGTTTTCATGATGTTTAGACGTACCTTAGAGTATAGAAATCGACTAGAAAACATAGGTACATTGCTAAGGAACTAGTATGGAAAGAAGGGGAAAAGGTGGAAGAACTGGCGTCCCTAGCGCTCTGAGAGGTGCGGGGCGCCAACCCTAAAATTTTAGAGAATGACTTGGGACGCTCTGGCGCGTTTCCTAGATTTTTGACGAAATTCCTCCGTTTTTCAACTCTAAACCCTCTAATTTCACTTGGTTCTTTTCCTAAACACTTAGAATCGACTATATGTTCAAAATACGTAAGATTCTACTCGAAAACACACCTAAATTCATGAATCAATCTCAAGAAACTTCAACAACAAGAACCCACAAGATTTCAAACGAATTATCACCAAGAACTCGTAAGATTTGCTTTCAAAACAATACAACTTCGTTGAATTGAATCATGATTAGCGCGTGGGTGAACTAACCCAATGCTATGTGATCTAACATACCTCGTAGGGATTAACCCTTGGCGAAATCCACACGAAATTTTCCAAGAAATCGACGAATCTTGACTTTTCTTCTACTTTCTCCTCTTTTCTCCAAGCCCTAGCGCGAATTTCCAATTGTCTAAACTGATCTAATTTTGATTAGACTGCAAATAAACTCCTAAAATCGAAATAAATTAATTGGGTAAGGAAAAGACTAAAGTACCCTTCCAAAATCCGGATTAGACTTTCCTTATTTGAACAACCCGAATTCAAATGGGCATATCTCACTCATACGAACTCGGAATCGCGCAAACTTGGCGCCGTTGGAAAGATAATTCCAAGATCTTTCCTACAGTATCTGGAAGCACACCTAATTCATCCTGAACTAGGAATTATGGTCGTTTGAAGTTGATCAAAAACTCAAACTTAACTTAACCAATTTTCCAGATTTTTCATTCTTTCCTAAAATGACTATTCCCAATTCTATCTCTTTCTAGTTCTTTCAATTAGAGAGATGTTACATGAGTAGTGTCAAATTCTTCAAAAATAATACATTATTATATAATCTAAAACGAGTACATCAATATTTTTGGAGACAGATTTTTGTTAGATAACTCAATTTACTATGTTTAGTTCTACTTTTATTTTGTGCTTTTATATTCGGTGTTCGTTATTCACTTTTGAATTTAGTTAATCTGAATTTTAAAAGTTTGATTTGAGAGGTAAAACACTTTTTATCAAAAATAATATTTATTTTCCGAGTTTGAACTTTGTCAATCAACTTATTGTAATATTTTGTATTCATTGAACTTGCCAAGAAAATAACAACTCATTATCTTGTGACCCAAACAATATTCGTTTTAATTTATTAGTCTTATTTTTTAAGTCATTTAAAAAATAATATTTTTTATTTTGAATAATTTGTTAATTTAATAACTTTTCACATGATATATATAAAATTATAAGACTAAATGACATTTTAGTACATTTTACTCGGCCACACTCCTCTTTCCAGGTCGAGGCCCCCCTTATGGTTGCTGGGTTCTCAGCCTGATATTCTGTACCTCACGTTTCATGATATCTACATTCAACTGTTCTCCGGAGATATGACTGAAGAACATCCGTTCAGTGTGCTTCTTTCACGACATTTCAAAAGCTTTTTAAATTTTTTTAATTTTGCGTCAAGTTAAAATATGACGAATATACTGAAATGAACGAAGTAACAAATTTTTTCTTCCTTTTTTATTTATTGTTTTGTCCTTTTTATATTGAAATAGAAGTGGAAAAATAATGAAAAACATATGTGTTGCATTCGAGAGTGTGACCTAACAATCACATGAGTGTATATTATATTTATTCCTTCTAATTTGTGATATAATTTTTTATACGAAATTTAAGAAGAAAATAATATAAAACATTTAGGAAAATTATATATACCCCCTGTCTCAATTCCATAATTTGATTAAGTAAAAACGAGTTTTGAATAATATGTTATAACT